TCATAAATAGCTCTTATTTTGAGATACGTTCCATCAATACCTAGTTTATTGAGTTTTTAGCATCAAGGGGTGTCGAATTTTATCAATGGCCTTTTCTGTATCTATTGAGTTAATCATGTGTCTTTTGTCATTGGTTCTGTTTATGTGATGGGTTACGTTTATTGATTTGCATATATTGAGGCAGCCTTGCATCCCAGGGATGAAGCTGACATCTTGATCATGGTGGATAAGCTTTTGAATGTGCTCTGAATTCAGTTTGCCAGTATTTTATTGAGGATTTTTGCATCAATGTTCATCAGGGATACTGGCCTGAAATTTTCTCTTTTTGCTGTGTCTCTGCCAGGTTTTGGTATCAGGATGATGCTGGCCTCATGAAATTAGTTAGGGAGGAATCCCTCTTTTCTATTGTTTGGAATAGTTTCAGAAGGAATGGTAACCAGCTCCTCTTTGTATTTCTGTTAGAATTTGGCTGTGAATCCGTCTGGTCCTAGGCTTTTTTTGGTTGGTAGGCTATTAATTACTGTCTCAATTTCAGAACTTGTTATTGATCTATTCAGGGATTTGACTTCTTCCTGGTTTAGTCTTGGGAGGATGTATACATCCAGGAAATTATCCATTTCTTCTACATTTTCTAGTTTATTTGTTATAGAGATGTTGAGTATTCTCTGATGGTAGTTTGTATTTCTGTGGGATCAGTGGTGATACTCCATTTACATTGTGTCTATTTGATTATTCTCTCTTTTCTTCTTCTTTAGTCTGGCTAGCAGTCTATTTTGTTAATCTTTTCAAATAACCAGCTCCTGAATTCATTGATTTTTGAAGGGTTTTTAGTTTCTTTGTCTCCTTCAGTTCTGTTCTCATCTTAGTTATTTCTTGTCTTCTGCTAGCTTTTGAATTTGTTTGTTCTTGCTTCTCTAGTTCTTTTAATTGTGATGTTAGCGTGTCAGTTTTAGATCTTTCCTGCTTTCTCACACATACATTTAGTGCTATAAATTTCCCTCTCAACACCGCTTTAGCTGTGTCCCAGAGATTCTGGCACATTGTGTCTTTGTTCTCATTGGTTTCAAAGAATTGCTTTATTTCTGCCTTAATTTCATTATTTACCGAGTATTCATACAGGAGTAGGTTGTTCAGTTTCCATGTAGTTGTATGGTTTTGAGTGAGTTTCTTAATTCTCAGTTCTAATTTGATTGCACTGTGGTCTGAGGGACTGTTTGTTATGATTTCCATTCTTTTGCATTTGCTGATTGTTTTACTTGCAATTATGGGATCAATTTTAGAATTCATGCTGTGCGGTGCTGAGAATAATGCATTCTGTTGATTTGAGGTGGAGAGTTCTGTAGATGTCTATTAGGTCCACTTGGTCCAGAAGTGAGTTCAAGTCCTGAATATCTTTGTTAATTTTGGTCTCGTTGATCTAATATTGACAGTGGGGTGTTAAAGTCTCCAACTATTATTGTGTGTGAGTCTAAGTCTCTTTGTAGGTCTCCAAGAATTTGCTTTATGAATCTAGGTGCTCCTGTATTGGGTGTGTATGTATTTAGGATACTTAGCTCTTCTTGTTGCATTGATCCCTTTACCATTATGTAATGCTCTTCTTTGTCTTTTTTGATCTTTGTTGGTTTAAAGTCTGTTTTATCCGAGACTAGGACTGCAACCCCTCCTATTTTTGCTTTTCATTTACTTGGTAAATATTCCTCCATCCATTTATTTTGAGCCTATGTGTGTATTTGCACATGAGATGGCTCTCCTGAATACAGCACATCAATGGGTCTTGAATCTATCCATTTTGTCAGTCTGTGTCTTTTAATTAAGGTATTTAGCCCGTACTTTAAAGTTTAATATTGTTATGTATGTATTTGATCTTATCATTATGATGCTAGCTGGTCATTTTGTCTATTAGTTGATGCAGTTTCTTTATGTGCTGATGGTCTTTACATTTTGGTATGTTTTTTCAGTGGCTGGTACCAGTTTTTCCTTTCCATGTTCAGTGCTTCCTTCAGGAGCTCTTGTAAGACAGGTCTGGTAGTTACAAAATCCCTCAGCATTTGCCAGTCTGTAAAGGATTTTATTTCTCCTACACTTATGAAATTTAGTTTGACTGGCTATGAAATTCTGAGTTGAAAATTCTTTTCTTTTTTCCCCCCCACTTATTTATTTTATTGCATTTTAGGTTTGGGGGTACATGTGAAGAACATGCAAGATTGTTGCATAGGTACACACGTGGCAGTGTGATTTGCTGCCTTCCTCCCCATCACCTACATCTGGCATCTCTCCCCTTGCTATCTCTCCCCAACTCCCCACCCCCCACCGTCCCTCCCCTTCTTTAAGAATGTTGAATATCATCCCCCACTTTCTTGTGGCTTGCATGGTTTCTGCTGAGAGATTTCCTATTAGTCTGATGGGCTTCCCTTTGTGGGTAACCTGACCTTTCTCTCTGGCTGCCCTTAACATTTTTTTCTTTCATTTCAACCTTGGTGAATCTCACCATTATGTGTCTTGGGGTTGCTCTTCTCAAGGAGTATCTTTGCGGTGTTCTCTGTATTTCCTGAATTTGAATGTTCTGCACCCAGTTCAAACTTCCCTGTCTTTCTGGTGTTCGGGAAACTCCTTCCTTCATTTGTTCTTATGCTCATCAAGTAATTATTGATCTCTGCCATATGGCCAGGCACAATACTAGATGCTTCCAAGTTTGCTTAGACCTTGCTGTCCTCCCTCTCCCCTTCCTCTTCATCCAAGGTTTGGGAGCCAAACTGATGGGCCCTAGAGAAGTTGGATGCTGTCACCTATTTGACTAAAAGTTTTGTCACTGCTCAGATGCTCTTAATACTCCTGATGCTATAGATCTGCTCATAGTATTATCTTCTTTGACATGACCACTACCTGGATTGGATCCAAGTTAATGCCATATATTCAGACACTCATCTGTAGTAGTGGCCATTCTCTTTGAGTGGCAACCCTTTTCCTATTAGTCACCTGGCTTCATCTATTCCTGTTACAGTACCTATTTTAAGGCCCACATTAAACTCCCAGTAAGCAGCTGATTATGACCTTTCCATTCATTTCTGAATCTCCATGTTATTATCCTCAACAAAACAGGGTTGACTATAAAAAGGATAAAAAAGTCACAGGTAAGGTTTTGAAAGCAAATTTCCTGTATTAAAGCTTTCTCTACAGTCAGTAAAGTCCCAAATGCCTTAAAATTGAATAATTAAAATGATTTATATGCTTATTACAAAGTCATCACTCTGAATAAAGTGTATTTTTAGACAATGATCTCAGGATGCCTTTAGCAGAAAGGTAATTCCACATTCAAATCTAGTCATGTGAAGAAAAATTAACATAAAGCCTGAATGTGCTCACAACTAATAAAAATAATCTTTGTCTAAGCAGATAATTTTCTAACAAAAGCATCAGAAAATGTGATGACTGTTCTGATGGTTTCAGAAATCTGTGATTTAGTGATTACATAAACAACGTATTTGTTAGTTTGTCCCAGGATTGCACATATGAAACCCTAGAATAGACTTGAGAGTCAGACTCAAGGACTAGGTCAGGTAATGGGGTGGCCAGTGTTCTCCTCTTCAATCTAGGACCTGCGCTTGCTGATCTCAAAGCTGCTCCTGATCACAGAGAGGTACACCAAAGACATATCAGATTTTAAAACTGTAAGTGACAGCCAAGTGCAAATGGGACTTTTGTCCTACATGTTCTTTTAGAGAATGATTATACCTATTTTTTTTAACTAAATGAAAATCTTCATGCTATCCCAATACAGTCATATGAAACTAGTAGTTGTCACAAAAACAACTTTATCACATTTTTAACTGAGACTCGAATTTCAACTGTATAAAACTGATCATTGGTATCACTGCCCATGTAATATGGAGATCCCTCCCACCTTGAAATGCAATCCCCTCCCTCTTTTTTGGAATGACTGTTGCATTAAGTTCTAAAAGAGAATAATAATTATATTAAATTCAGGTTTTAAAATATTTTTGGAAAAAAATTAGCACATGCTACAGTTAGCATACCAGAAAAACATGGGTCTCATATTCCCATGACCTCATAATACTGCATATAACCTAGTGACATAAATTATTGACATATATTCTGATCATTGCAAATTTCAACATGCATTTAAATTTAAATGCAGAATTACTATATCACAATTAACATCAAAGCACCTTTTTCAACTTAACACTAATTGTTACGTTAATCTCTTACATTTTGATGAATATGAATAGAGATTTTACTAAAGTCATGTATTACATACGCACTCCAGAAATCCAAACAGTTAAATAAAAATGTGTTTCAAAGCAAGAGTCACCCATATATTCTGCTCAGCAAACATTAAATACCTATAACCACCCAGCTTATCAACTTTAGCTCCTTTTTTAAGCCCTCAGAGTTTCAGCCTCTCCTGATTAATTCTCCTTTGATGAGGCTTCCAAGTTAATGATATTGATTTGCTATTTTCAGAATTTTTCTAGCACTTGTAGCTATGGTATAATTTCAACTTAAATTACAGAAGAATAAGAAAGGTGCCTTTTCAAGAAAAAGAACTATACAGATTTTTTTTCAAGGAGAAAGGAAAGGGAAAAATATCCTCAAAATTAAAGACTATACATACTAATTTTAAATATCATTATTACCTCTAAAGGTAGCTGAAAATGTGTACTGGTTATACTGATAAGTTAGATGATCACTGTAACACAGACCATTGTAACACCTGCCAGTCTTAGATTTATTTTGAAGAAAAATTTAGATGGAAAAAAATGCTATAATGTAAATGTCCACAAGATTTAGCCAGAAGACGAGTACCTACACAAAGTATAAATTGTTCCAGCATTTGACTGACATTTAATTTTGCTAGAAAATGCTAAGGCAACTGAAATTGTTGCCTGAGTTCATTTGATCTAGTTCAATAATAGCTTTAGTACTAAAACTGAGCACTTTGAATTACAAACTTAATGAACTAAGACTGAAAACATGCTTACCACGGGTTGTAATGGGGCACCAGGCATCATGGCATTGGCTAGTTGCATTTGCTGGGCCAACATGGCCATGTTCTTCTGCTGAATCAAGTTATTGCGTCCATTTATCTCCAACTGCGTTTTTAAATGTGGGGGTGGATGAAGATATTTGCAGTTCTCCCTGGAGCAACGGCCCTAGGAAAACAAAAGCAGCAAACATTATCTTAAAAAAGAATAAAATCAGCAAATTATGAAAAAAATTATAAGGCAAACCACCCACTTGAATGGTTTCCATTATTTGGAAGCACATATGTGTATGTATTACTAAACTGTTAATAATGATTACATCTAAACTCAGAGGTGCATAAAATGGGAGTCTTTTACACACTATACTCCTATACTCAGACTTAATAATGGGCACATTACAAATTTTAAAACTACTGGTAGAAAATAATAATAATAATAATAATAAATTTAAAAATGACACTTCAATGTATCATGGGTTTTTCACACAATGCATTGTCCATATCATTTTATCATACATTTAGAGCAAGTAATGAATTCACCAAAATGCGTTATCAATATGAGAGATTAAGACATTTGAAAAAGTTTAAAAGCTTAAAGAGCTCCAATTATTTTAATGATATTAGCATTAATATTTCCAGATTTAAGTTTAAAAATCTACAAACTGCTAGGGTAATACTAAAACATAGAATATCAAATAAAGAATATCAGGCTCCTGCCATAATATCTTCCTGGTTAAATTTAATGATTTACGAATCAAAGTTTTATAATTTATTTTTACTTGTACTAAAATCTTAGGAAATGAACTTAGAGGACTCAAGGCACATTGCATCTTCAGTAAAACACCTTTACAAATATCTAATAACAAATCAAATTAAAATTACTACTAGGATTTCCAGCCCATGCATTAAGAATCTGCAATTGAGAAAAAGAAAACGCCCATGCGTTCCCACTGTTTACATAGAGATTAATATGTATAATGAAATATTGGTGAAAAATGTAACCTTTAACTTTTCAAAGATTAAATCTGGTCTTCTCCATTTCACAAAAATGATGAAACAAGAAGAAATGGATGCATTTACCCTCCAAAGATTTTATAAAATGGAGAAGCAAAATAAGTTGCTATAAGCCAGGAATGGTGGTGCACTACCTCTGTACTCTGTCCTAAACAATTCATTCTAGTACCTTCCTTCTAGTACCACCCAGACCATCCTACCAATGAACATAGCCTGGACTGAAATAATGGAGAGGAATTATATGTGTTTAGTAATCTTAGCACTTTAGGAGGCTGAGGCAAGAGATCCCCTGAGCCCAGGAGTTTGGGACCAGCCTGGGTAAAAGAGATCTCACCTCAAAAAAAAGTTACTATAAAATTATAAATATACCTTCCTTTTGGATAATTCTTTTTAATAAAAATATTCATTAAAGTCTGTAATGTGCAATATGGTATGAGGCACTCTACCCATATTATTTCAATATATTTTCAAATCGTATCGATAGTAGCAGATCTCATCAACCATCTTGACAACTTCCTTCACCAATAAATCTAAGACTGTTTACAAACAGTAGAAGAAAAGATTAATTGAAGCCATCATTCACATTCTAAAAAAGCCAATTTGGTATAATTTACCTTTATATTATAAATTGACTCTGACGTTTATGCTTATGATAAAATCTGTCATAATTCTAATTTAAATGATCAGTTTTAGTTCCTTTTGTACGAAGTTTTTAGGAATGTCTCTACACTGGGCTAGAATCATAGGATACTGCTTGTCATTTTTACAAGCTTTATGTAATACTTGAAATCAGTAGGCAGTGGAGGACAGTGGATAGCAAGGACCTACAGGTCCCATGGGCTGGGACAGAGGCCTTGCTCTCTCACTCATCAACTGCATGAACTGCATAAAAAACTTCTGTAAGCCTCAGGCTCTCTATCTAGTACAGAATTATTAGAAAACCTGTATCACTGCCACCACAATGTAAATTGTATATCAAACAAAAGAAAAATAAAACATTGGTATGAAGACCATTATTTAAACATCTATTAGTTATGGCTATTGGTAGGCTCACAAAGTAACATACACATTAAACTTATTCCATATAAAATCACCATGCTTGATCTATGCTGGGATCATGAGCAGGTTATTAGCTTAAAAGCATCCTGATGCAAAACAACGAAAAACAACCTTAGAATCACAGGATAAACTACAGACTAGAACTGGCAAAAATAAACTCCCGAATGGCACATGGTCTAATTTCAGGTATATTCAGTTGAAGTGTCCTAGAAAAAGCCTGCTTTTTCAATACAATAATAATTTGGCTGTAAGAGAAATTTTTGTTCTCAATTATCTCCACATCATATTTCTTACTAAAACTAGATTTCTTTAAATGCAGATAAGCGGGGTTATAGTCACCCCAAGAATTCACTTCCTGTCAATTCACTCACGTCAGTTTCTATAGTTTCATAAATAGTACACAGATAGTCCTGGGCCATTAACCAGACCTTCCAACACTAACTCTAGTCTTCCTAAGCGCTTCATTCCAGTACCTTTCTTAAATATACACCACCCAGACCATCCTGCCAATGAACATAGCCTGGACTGAAATAATGGAGAGAAATTACATGTGTTTGCTATACATTCTGCATCAGTACATCTCAAAACTTTTACAACAAGCTCAGACCTTTGATTTTCATTTTGAATTTCTGACCTCTACTCAGGAAAATGCTGTTCTACTTTTCTTACCTGTGGTCCCTTTCTATGCCCCAGCTTGATTTGATTGTGTTGAGCCCTCACTTTCAAAAATCTGTCTTCCTAAGAATCAACTGATATTTGGTGGAAAAAGTATACAGACTACCAAGCCTCTCTCACAGAGAGCTGTGACCACAGGTTTGAGGATCCAGAAATTGACATTTGAACAAGCATTCCAGATGATTCTGCTATAGCAGAAAACACTACAAAATAAAATTGTGCAAAGTCATATAAATTTTTATTTAACATGTGTGGAAAAGACAACGGAATAATATATTAGATAAACTGTGGATAAATGTATTAGATAAATTTACATTGTGGCAGTGATACAGGTTTTCAAATGATATTTAACTTTGCTTCTTAGGAAGTTCAAAACATGTTTAATGCTTACTGCTGCTGGATGATTATGGTTTGACAAATAAAAAGGTCAAAAATAAGTTAGAATAAACATCCTCCATTAGAATTGCCTAAAACCACCAGGAACATACCTTCCTTTGAGAGTTAAGGTAAACATTACACTGGTATGTTGCCAGCTTCATCCATCTCCGAGTCCTTAGTAGCATCACACCTCAATAAACATTCACAGAATGAATGAATGTTTATTTCTTACTAAATGCCTCAAGATGAATTGTATTCTAACTCTATCCTAGAGACAATAGAGATAACAGAAAAAAACTAAATATAAGACCAAATCTTGGTTCTAAGTTGTACTGACCTAATGATGCTTTTATTAAGAAGCCAGTCATTTAAATACATGATAAAGCTAGCCACAGTTAAAGAAGAAAGGAAAACAGAAGGAAGTTTTTAAGTTTCACCAAGGACAAAAGGAGGTTTGTACAGACATTCAATGTTTTTGGCATCCTAAAATCTATACAATGACAATACATTTTAAAAGTCTAAAAACAAATTCATCAGTATCTGGAGTTCACATATACAGACTTTTATACTGGAGCTACTACTCTAAATCATTTAGAGATTTCACTTAAAGATACATTAAATTGGGCTGCTAGGTTAATGCAAAATATAAAAGATATCTTTGTCTTCAGTTTTGATGGGTAGAGGTAGCTCCAACTATTGCAATAACTGTATAATTTTATCAAATATAGCTTTGTTCAAATTGTAGCTATGATACTTATTTGCTGTGTGACCTTGTGGAAGTTAGTGCAATTCTCTGAGTGGTCACATCTTTTCTATATAATAGTATCAATGACATCTATTATCATTGGTGATGTATGAAGATTAGTAAGACTATAGGCCATCCGCACAAATGGCACCTGGCATAATGGGCAGTCAATAAATATTAGTTATTTTCCTCTCTTAAGTTCTCAAGGTAATAACAAGCAGCAGCTGCTCAATTTAGCAGCATATATGCTAAAAGCTCTAAAAATAATACAGGTAGCAAAACCAAGTGGCAATGCATATCAATCATCAATAATGTAATACAAGCTTGGCTGTTAATCATCATTGTATATTTGCCACATCCACCAAGAAAAAGTGCCATTGTAACACATTTCTTATAATGTTATGTTTCTGTGCCTTGCTTCTGTTGATTATACTGAAACCTCACTTTTGAAGAGCTGTACAGCTGCCTAGCAGGCCATTCCATAGAGCCTACATAGTATTAGGTTGGGGAAAGTATTGTGGTTTTTGCCATTAAAAGCAAAACTTTTGCCCCAGCCTAATAGATCCCTTAGGCTCCACTCAAGGAGTCTTTTAAAATAGAATTAATTCAACAAAGACTCCAAAGACATCACTGCAATACATATAGTATATATTTTAAGGGAAAGGAGGAAAGTTAATAAAATATTGGTCTCCACCAAGTTCTTTTTTTTTTTTTTTTGGTAATAATTTTTCTATACTTTTCAAATTAAAAGTAATCTGTCCAAACAAAGGCAAAATTTACCCCCTGTAGTCTTAAAAACCTGTATGTGACCAGTAACAGTCATTCAATTAATAAATTCATCAAGTAATTTCTGAAGTTGTAAGTTGTTCAATTGTGAATTTGAGGATTGTCTCATTAGTCTTTCAAACTGCCATAATTTTTTTTGGCTATAATAAAGGAAAATACATATTTAGCTTAAGTGTTTAATCCTCAAAATAAATGTATGGCTCATTTATAAACATTAAAGTTTAATAGAGTATACTTTTATATTATATATGTGCAAGCATAGTATATAAACTGCATATGTGATATATATATAGTAAGATATAAATTAAAAAATATGATGGAAGCTAGGTAATTAACAGCTAGTCAAATAAGAATAAAAGTGAATGAAACTAGATATGGTAAGTTAGAAATATGAGAAAGCTATTTCCTAGCTATGCATTTATGAACTAGCTAATTAAGAACAAAACGATTAGAAGTTGCTTGGACTTAATTAAAAAAAAAGTCAACATCTTAAATGCAACTAATTTTCCATTTTTAATTATATGTCTTCTACTTAAGATAAAAGGAATATTGTGATTTATGAAGTCAGACTCTAAAGACACATGTTATTAAGCTGCCAAATGGTAACTATGTGGCAGGATTACAATTACCAAGTTCTATTTAGGTAGACTCTGGAAATAAAAGAGCAATGGAAAGAGTACAGGGCTACTAGCTTATATTCATAAGTCTTTTCCAATTTTCATTATAGTTTTCTGGTGAAACTGTTCAAACTATAATCATTTATTTCAATTGTTAAAACCAAGATTTCTTTTCTGGATAGCTGATATTGTTTTTGAAGCACTTTCAGGGTATTCATTGCTCATATATTGGCCAGAAACCATATCATTTTACACTTGTAAAAATGTTTTTTATGGCTCTGCCATGCTTTTTAGTTATCATTTCTAAAGCCTGGGTGAATAAACGCACACATGTACACACAAACACACATACATATATAAAACATTTATTTAAAAAGTACAAGTATCTAGTAAGAAAAAATTTATGGGAGCCTATAAGGTGAATGATTTTAAGAGAAAAATTGTATTTCACATACATACAAATATGCATACACACATATATACTTCAGGGTTTTGTTTTCACTTGACAGATGTGACTTTGATTCACTCTAAGAATCACAGTTTACTGGCTTTTCTAAGTACTGAAAATAACTGCATCTAACACAAAGTATATTGTTGCTCTTAAATGTATATTTCCTGATAACTCACTTGTTTCCATAAAGGACTTGGGTTAGCTTACAAGAGCACACACATCCTAAAAAGATGCTCACAACTTCTCAACCTCAGCACTACTGACATTTTGGGCTAGATATATTTTTGTTGTGGGAGCTGTCCTGTGCATTGCACGATATTTAGTAGCATTCTTAACTTACAACCACTAAACGCCTATGTTACCACTACCCTCAGTTCTGATAAACCACAATGTCTCCAGATAGTGATAAATGTCTTGGTGAGGAAGGAGGACAGCATCATCTTTTGTTGAGAGTGGTGGTGTAAGCCACCACTTTACACCTAATGGAATTTAATGGGGGGCTGTATTCGTCTGCCTGGAATATCATAACAAAATACCATTTATACCAGTATCTGGTATACCAGATTTTATTATAACCAGTTATACAATAATTTATCAAAAGAAAATACCAAATATACCAGTGTATAATTATGCATAAATACACACTTATATACTCACTTCAATTATGCACCAACAGTAACAGCAGTATATGTATTACAAACAGATTTTGGTTGTGTTACAAATTCAAAAACTTAGGATATATGACATAATTTATATTTCATGTTTTATTTGAATAAACTCTTAAGAATTTTTATAGCACTATAAAATAAAACCTAAAAATTTTAAAGTAGTTAGAACAGATACATTATGTTTGTTTTTTTCTGAGAAAAGTCTCTAGGGAGATTTCACTGTTTTGATGCAATTATTTATTTGTTTTCCAAGTAGTATGCTATACCACAGAGTAAATATACATAGCATATATCCTGTTAATATATCTGCTATATTTAAATCATATGGTAAACTATGGAGGAAATATATTTTCATATTAACACTATTTTTTTATTGTTTTATTTTAAGTTCCGGGGTTCTGGGGTATGTGTGCAGGATGTGCAGATTTGTTACACAGGTAAACATGTGCCACGGTGGTTTGCTGCACCTATTAATCCATCACCTAGGTATTAACCCTAGCATGTATTAGCTATTTTTCCTAGTGCTCTCCTAACCTCTCTCAATTTCTTGCCTTGCACTCCCCAACAAGCTCCAGTGTTTGTTGTTCCCCTCCTTGTGTCTATGTGTTCTCATTGTTCAGCTCCCACTTATAAGTGGGAACATGTGGTGTTTGGTTTCTGTTCCTGCATTAGTTTGCTGAGGAAAATGGCTTCGAGCTCCATCCATGTCCCTGCAAAGGACATAACTGTGTTTCTCTTTATGGTTGCACAGTATTCCATGGTGTATATACACCACATTTTCTTTATCCAGTCTATCACTGATGAGCATTTGGGTTGATTCCATGTCTTGCTATTATAGCAACACTAATTTTTCTATTTGTTTCTTAATTCTCAAATATTCACAACTCTTTAACCTAAATAAGTAAATAGGATTTTTTTTTTGTTACATAATTTTCTATGTTTAATATCATAGCACCCTTATACTTATTTTACAGTTTTATCATCTTAAAGACAAGAAGCTATTCTTCAAACAAAACACAACTTCTATTGTTTTGATTTCCTCATTTGTCTTTCAGGTAACACCAGCAACAAATGCCTCGCATCCCCACAGAAGGTGAAAAAATGAGTCAATTCTCTTATGTTGCTAGGCAGGTAATATCTAGTCTTTTAAATTTAACATAAACTAGCTATAGCAATCCTAATCAATATTTAACACTTAACTTTCTAGATGTAAATTGTTATTTATTCATCCAATCAGCATAACAGCAAATGCATGGAGCTCAATTCAACCACAAGAGCTGGGAGATTTTTTTTTCACCAGTGAGACAAACAAAACAATAATAAACATATTTCCATTGAAATAATCCCAGTTTCTTTAAATTTACCACAGATATAAAACATGTTTTCAAATGAAACACAATATGAAACAAATTTAGATTTTTCCCCTTTCCTGATTCTGTAAAATGTACACACACACACACACACACACACACACACACACAGTGGCTTAACAATTATTAAGACTGCCAATAAAAGAAAAAAATACACACATACTGCCTATTGAGTTTAAATTTGTAACTTTCATGGCCTGAAAGAATATAAAATAATGTAGTAAATTCTATTTAATAGGCATTAAACATTTTTCCATCAATGCATAATCTAATCTCAAATGGAATTTTAGGTTAGACTTTTCTAGCTCTTTAAACAACTCTCTCCAGTATTCAATAAGTGTTCTAGGTACTATTTTGTAGAACATTCCTAAGTTTAATGATGAAGATTCTCAGACACTGAAACCAATAGTGACATTTATGATATCCCAAAATATCCTCACTATTGATGTAATATCAACACATTCTCACTCAAACATTGGGATACTATGACTTTTTTTCCCAGAGAACTTAAGAGCTTTAATTGCACAATTCCCATTAATCATCTTGAAAATGGCATAACTGAAACTCTACACCTCTAGAAAATGTTATGTAATGCATGAGAGTCAAAGTGGCTGCCACTGAGGGGGTAGAGAAAGTGAAAAAGGCAGCAAATCACACACACAGTCTTCTGACAAAAATACCACTTTTTTCTCCAGCAGCTTTTGCCTCTGAGAGATCAGATACACATACAACTGTTGCAGTAACAGTTATATCAGCACACAATTTTAGCTAGCAGTCATCTGAAGAAAACTTAATCCTTCATACACATATGAGAAGCTCTTCTATTTAGAGTCGCTTGTGATGGGATGCTGTAAGAAGAGAGTTTCACCTTTTTTCTCATACCTATGGCCTCCTCTAAGCCAGAGAATCTAAGAAAAGTTTATCACTACTGCTGAGGTTAATGCTATGCAGGGTTTAACCGCACCTATTGTCTGCCACTATTCCATAGTCTTCATAGGCTCCAAAGACAGATTTGATCACCATCACTGAGCCAAACCAGAGTCTCTATGACCTTGTGAAAGCCTAGTGACATTTGGTAGGTGCCAACATCATTAAACAGTCCAACATTTGTTGGCTGCTTTTTTTATAGCATCATGAAGCTGGAAATGCCAGATCACTATGTTTCTATTATTTTTTAAATTGCTTCATTATTTTTTTGGTACAGCAACCATCAGATTTCTAAACTGTTTGTAGCTAAAACACTTTTGAAGTTTTATGATATAAAAATCAGACATTCTTCAATCTTGCCTAATAATTAAAAGCCCTAACATTTTCATAAATTTTAGTGCTCTATTTGTACAGCATACCTTTCAGTGGAGAAACACAAAATGTGTTACAAATAGTATCCAATTTATCATTGTACCATTATTAGGTAGATTTACAGTATGACTGTCTCTATTCAATTTCTATAGCTTTCCTGAAGATCAAAGGGAGGTAAACTTCTTAAGTAAAATACATCCAATTTTTCTTCTAACAATATTTGGAAAGACTTGTTTAAGCAGATCTTTATAGACTGCTTCAACAGTCTAATTTATGACTAGTTCCTAGTTCATTTACAAAGCAAAAATTCCCCATCTTTAAATCTCTCCTTCTCTCCATGAAATACTGATTAAAACCCAAAAGGTATATTTTTATTGTAACGCAGGAATAATAAAACCTGCATGGTGCTTCTTATGTTCCAGGCACTGTTTTCAACACTCTACCAATGTTAATTCCCTTCATCCTCTCTCAATATTACTGGGAAGGCTTATTTGTAACATTTCAGTTTTTTTATAACACTTAAGTACAAACAAAATAAATGACTGAACCCAGGCGGTTTAACTACAAAGTTGTTGCTCCTAATCATTACCTTACTAATACGCATTTGTAACCAAGTGTATCCCATCTGATCATCTGTAAGTATGTTTTGTTTTTGTTTAATCATTGACTGCTAACACTAGAAACAGATGACTCTAGGTCAGAACCAAATGGAAGTCTTCAACTCTTTTGAGTTCTGCAAAGGAAATGATATTTCATAATGTAAGCAACTAATTTTGGAGAAGACTAATCCACATAGCATTTCCAAAGGGTAATGGAAAAAATTTAGATGCTTTTGTAAATTGTAATTTAATTGTCATCTTTTTTCTTTTCCTCAGAGGAACCTGTCTTCCAGGATCAACAGTATTTTTTTTTAAAAGAACACCAAAGAAGTTAAAATATTACCCTAGTGAAACAAGAGGTTCTTGGGTTAAATATATATTTCACTGACAATGCCTCTTCAATTTGGATATAACACAAATAAAGAAAAACTTATTATATATATTTATATATATTTGGATATAAAACAATTAAAAAGCTATTATATATAATGAAGTTATATATCTGTGTATATACATATATATGTACACACACATAAAATTAAAAATTTAAATGTTAGTAATATAGGATGATATGTTTTAAGGGGCAAGTCTTTATTGAGAAATATAAATATAAAGGAAATCAGAGAGGTAAAACATTTTGGCAAAGTCAGCTTGAGAATAATAACATCATTCCTTTGTATTTACACGCAACATTTGTTATATTTGTACCTGCGAGATCCCACATATCCCTACAAATAAGGAAAGTAAAGCGTGTTTTTACCTCTCTAAAGTGACAACATTTATTTAGTCATGATAAACTTCAAAGTATAATATTACATCATATGTTTCCAACAACCTATGTCAATATTTCCACTGTAACTCTTCCCTTAAAGCCTACTCAGCCTCCTAGATAGGACAGCATATATTATGCATATAATTAGTGTTTAAATAGTTTTCCAAACTATAACAGATGTCTAAAATTTTGGCTGCCATTTACATGCAGAAATTATCACATATTGCACTGCTCTGCATTGTCTTTGCCAAACACAAAGATCCTTTCTTTTTCTCAATTTTTCACTAGCACTCCTTTATAAACCTGTGGGATTCCCTAACTGAAAAATAAATACTGTCACTTTCTGACTTCACCAATTCTGCCTCAAGTCCAGCCATTAAATGCTACTGCTTCACATAAACAATGACAGAGCACGAAGAAAAAGTGAGGCAATAAAGGTCCTCATCACTGCTGACCACAGTCTCCTTCAGACAGATCAACTTTGTACTTGAACAAAATGTGCTCAATGACACTGGCTCTGTCCCCATGGGGAAAACACTCCTCTCCCTGCCCCACACCCCCCCGTCTATGACAATTTGCTAAAATTGTGCACTGCCATCAGCTCTCTCAGACTTGAGGCAGCAGCAAGCGGAAAGACAATTGGCTCATGAGCCCAGAACATGTTTCTATTGGATGCTGACTGCAGCAGCATAAGCAGTAAGGGTGAAGAAAATCTCTTGAAGCAAAAAAGCAGTATCACAACACAGGTTATCTGAGCCTGTCTCCTCCTCTGCACTCCACCTCCACATCTAGAGAATTCAACTGGTTTTCTAGGGCAGTTCCACAAATATCTAAAGTAAGACTAAACAATCTATCTAAAAATTACCACTGAGAATAAAATAGGAAAGTCTCAGAATTTTTAGAAACATTTCATATACAGTACGTGTCTAGTATCCTCAAATAGTTTTTCAGAAAAAGATCCATATTAACAATAAACATACAAATAAAAAACAGATGATAACTATAAGCTATGGAACTTGTACCAAGTACTACAGATGAGTCTTTATGGCAAAAGGGTATTGAAGTCATCACATTAAGCATAGATACTTGAAAGAGCTTAGTCATCACAAGGTGCTCTGTTCTAAATGGCAATTAGAAGCTGCAGCGCATATTCTTAAGTGCTTAGTTAAGATGAAAAGTATGGAGATGTTGGGCCTCACAGGAGTGTCAGCCATGGCAACACTGTTTTTTTTAACAAGCCAGAATGTGAACGTGAGAGGGAAAAGCACAGACGGTTGTCACATGATGTTTTTTTCTTGCTATCATACCAACAACATTTAGGCTGAAAGCCCGGATCTGCTAAACACTCTGCTTAAGAGTGTTAGCATTAAGCGAGTAAAGGAATATATCTGTGATTTTTACACTCTCTACATCTGCTGAAAGAAGGTGGCTTTTATTAAAGATAGTTGTATCTTCCTTTATATTTTGTACATGTTCCTCTCCTAATACCAGGCACTGTTTACACATCTTCCTTCCCTGGTGACAGACTCCCTAAGGAGGCTCATGCCCACAGCCTACATCAGGCCAAGAAAGCCCCATAAGTGTTTATCAAGTGAATGAGTTCTGACTATATTTCTGAATGTAGGATATTCTGTCCAATAAAGCAGTTCTCAAACATTCCTTTTGCATCTTCTTTAGCGTCCATAAACTGTTATGTTATAGCTTCCTATTTTTCTTCATTCAAATATATTTTTCTCTCCACTAGTCTTCTACCATTTGCTCCTTTTCTCAGGTAACTGCTTACTACTGTTATCCAAACACGAATATGTGACTCTTCACCCACCTAAGTAAGAAATATGGCTACTTGTTGGAGGTATCTGTATCCCAAACTTGTAAGCGTCTCATATACAGAAGCCTTAGAGATAAGCATTGAGAAACAGTTCCAGGAGTTGACATAGAAAGAGCAATACAGTACCAGCTCAATGGTTAAAACTCCCATGAACTGAAATTAGAGAGTTGCTTGTTCAAATCCTAACTTTGATATTTATTAGCAGTGAGACTTTGGATTAATTATTCAACTCCACTGAATTGCAACTTCCTCTTCTATGAAAATGAAGGTAAGATATCAGCCTAGGGATGATGTGAATATTAAATTAGGGAATATATACAGAGGCCTCAATTATGGTCTGGTACTCAGAAAATGAAAAAGACTGGACTGCTCTCACTCTCCTAGCATGTTTTTTTACCTTGCAACCCCCCCGGTTCCCATCACCCAGGTCCATTTCTCCAGAGATGCTTGAAAGCATCCTTTTCTCCTGTTCCTGCAGCCTTCCCTTTGTCAGAGTTTGCCGGCTCACCATCAAGTTAAAACCTCCTTTAATGAACTAACCCAACAAAGCCTCTAGTAAATCTCCTTTAATGAATTAACCCAAACGAAGCCTCTAGTGAATCTCTTAATGAACTAACCCAAATGAAGCCTCTTTCACAGGACTATAATATAAGTACAATCCAATGAAAGAACGCATATCCAGGAACCAAGGAGACCTGTGTTAATTGTAATTCTCTTACCCACTAGCTACATGACCTCATGCAGGTACTCAAAACTCCCTGCCCAAACAACACCTTCACTTGTGAAATTGTGTCCAAGAAACAGGAGCTTCCAGAGTAGCTGTGACAAAGCTTTCCTCAGGCCAAAGTAAGAATCAACTCATATTCATTTTGCTTACCATTAAGAAACTGGGCATTTGTTTTTAAAGGGAATTGATATTAAAAGTAAACCATTTTAATAGGTTAAATTTGATTATGAGAAGTGACCCTTTTCAAATGTCACTTACTGAGGAAATTTGCTTTCACTTTCCCTCCCTTCTTCCTTTCCTTTCTTTCTTGCCAAGTAGAATAAACTCACAGTAGTAAATTCAGAACCTGCCAAGCTATATTATAGGTAATTTTTACAAGTCTGTCTACTGTTCTTGATTAGGAATTTCAAATTCTGGCAATCTAAGCATTTTAAATAAATGTTCGTAGAATGAATAAAAGACAGAAGGGCATTTCTGGTAGTCCCAGCTATCACATCACTTGATAATACTGTAGAGCTTAAGTCACTGGTCCTTGACCATGACTGTACATTATAAATTAAAAATTCCTACATCCTGCCTCCACTCCCAGAAATTTTTAGATATTTTTGGCTGAGTCCCAGGCATAAATGTATTTTAAAGGCTCCCCAGGTGATTTTAATGACAGCTACTCTGAAGACCACAGGTTGGTGTATATATACTAACACACGTTCTCATTTACCAATCAATCACAACCTTTTCCAGGGTTTTTTAAACTTAGTTTTTGCCAGTGGCTTCAAGATAACTGCTAATGTTATCTGTAAGTTAACTGATACTTCTGTTGGAATTGTCCATTTTCCAAACAGCTCCTTTCATATGCAGTGGGAGAAAGGGCACTTGAGCACAAGGGATGGCATAAAAAGCTGCTGTCCTTTGTTCTCTTGGGCATATCATCCTGGGCAGGGTCTCAAGACTAGCAACACCTTCATGATCACAGGGTTATTTCTAAACACCTTGTTCACAAGAAAAAGGTTTCAAGGGTAAAGGAGGGGATTCAAGATCCACAACATCAATGTACCCGTAAAGTCTTTATTCTTTTAAAAATATACCCAACATACATAGTACACTTAAAAAAGAATGTATTATCAGTGATGTGTATAGCAAATTAGATAAGTAATACTAGATTCTATATTACTTAGTTTTATTATCACCCATTGAGGGCTAGAGGTCTTAGGCAGTTCCTATGTTAACCTGACAATATTGGTTAACATTTGTTAATGTTAACCTGACAATTAGGTTCCTATGTTAACCTGACAATTTTACAACTCAATTTTAAGTAGCCTAAGCTCAAGTTAAAAATTTCATAGCTAAAGTAAATGTTTATAAAAGTAAAGTGGCATATTACAAATTTTCAAGTAAGGAGATAAGATGTCTCAACAGGACTGCTGCTGTTTGTTTAGGAACACAATTAGTACTATCAATAGAATCCTCTCCTTAGTCTCCTGTTCAAAGGTAATTACAAGGTCTACCACTAACACTCACAATAATATGTAGCATTTATCCTCATGGCAATCCCATGAGGTAGTCTTATTAGCCTCATATTACAAATCAGGAAACTGCAGTTCCCAGAGGTTAAGTATCTCATGCAAGGTCCCAACAATGTTAAGTTATGAAGTTGGGAAGTACGGGTAATGTCAGGGTCAGCATTTGGTAGCCAGAATGAAAGTGGCCTAAATAATCTAGGGATTGAAGGAAAACTTTAATTTGTCATTCCCACTTGTTTTCAGATAAATGATTTCACTACATTAGAGATGGAAAGTGAAAACTGATCATGTGCTTCTCCCATTAGAAGTCATCAAAAATTTAATAAGAATGGCTGGGCACAGTGGCTCATGCATGTAATCCCAGCACTTTGGGAGGCTGAGATAGGAAGATTACTTCAGCTCAGAAGTTTAAGGCTAGCCTTGGCTATATAGTGAGACACCGTCTCTACAAAAAGTAGAAAAGATTAGGTGGGTATGGTGGCATACATCTGTAGTCCCAGCTATTTGGGAGAATCGATTGAGCCCAAGAAGTTCAGGCTGCAATGAGCCGTGATTGCACCACTGCACTCCAGCCTGGGTGACAGAGCAAGAGCCTGTCTCAAAAAATAAATTAAAATAAATAAAATAAAATAAAATAAAAGTATCTCTTGCATTTCTCAGAATAATACCAGAGTATACTTACTTTCTGAAATTGTTGTAGAAGAGCTAGATATCTAGGTCAGAAATACAGTATGTGTAGATACACAATCAAAAGAGAAAGCAGAGTAATTAATTCATTGTCCTCTAAGCTAGGAGATGAATGAGACAAAAGGAGGAGGAAGAGGGAAGAAAGAGGAAGGAAGGGAGGAAGGAAGGGAGGAAGGAAGGAAGGGAGGGAGGGAGGGAGGGAGGGAAATATTTTATACCAAATTTCAGAAATATTTTATACCAAATTTCAGAATAGCTCATTTATATATTTATTCACCTACTGTATGGTGATACCTCTTATGTGCTCTGTGCTATGGGACAATGGAAACACAAAATGAACTAGAAACATACCCTAAGAAGGGAAACAGAATATGCATATAAATAGCTATTAATGGAATATAAGATTATAGGGCAAAGGGTGTCATCAGAGACATTCAGATAAAAAGTTCTTGCAATTTTAAAGGCAATGGGAATATTTCCATTTAGAAGTATCAGATAATAGCTTCAAAAAAGAAGTGAAATTTATATATGAAGAGTTGGAAAAGTTATCTAGATAGAAGAAATATCATACATCGAGGCATCAATGACAAGTAATAAATCTGTAGTAAGAGCAGTGGGAAAAGAGTTTGAAAAAGTACCTAGAAAAGTCTAGCTTGGAAAGGTTTCAAATACTGTATTAAAGATTGCCTACTTCCTTTTGTAAGCCAGAAAGAGCCACTGAATGGGGTGAAAGGACATTAGCAAAGCTGTACTTCATGAATTCCTCAGACAAGAATGTAAGAGGGCTTGAAGTGGTTAAGAGCCTGGAAAGGAGAGACCAATTAAGTAATTATGTTAACAGCCCAGGCAAGAGGCAACATAGACTTTACCATTCTCCAGATAATAATCCCAGACCCGTCTTTCATAATCTCTCACCTTACCCCTTTTCTAATGCATTCATTCATTCTTTCTTTCTCTCTCTCCCTCCCTCCCTCCCTCCCTCTCTCTTCCTCCCACCCCGCCCCCATGGGCCCACCATGGAAAAAATTGTTAATTCATACAGACCATTTATTGAACATCATTTATCATAAATACTGTTCAAGCAACTGCAAATATATTATTTTCATTAAAATAAACAGGTAATCCCCTAAGTTTTTTGAGAATCTTAATGTATCTCTCTCTGTTATCTGACACCCTACCAAAAACCAAAACCAAAACAAACAAAGGAAGAAAAGGTGGAATAGGGTCAAGGTAGGGTAGCAATAAAGCTTAACATAGGACATATTACAGAAAATAGATGATTGTTAATATGAAGTGTGCTGTGAAACCAAAGGAAAAAATGTACAGGAAACAGAGACTGAAAGTGGAGCACTTTCAAAAGCAGATTCAATTAACCTGAAATGACAATATGAGTAAGTGGTACTAACTACATTGGGCCAATGAGGAAATTAAAGCTCAGAGAGGTGAAATGACTTGCCTAAGGTCACACAGCAGCAAATCAGGTCTGATATCAAGTCTGAGGATTATGTCTTCTATAACAGTGGTTCCCAACCTCTTTGGCACCAGGGATCAGCTTCGTGGAAGACAATTCTTCCATGGACTGGTGGTTGGCAGAGTGAGGGATGGTTTCGGGATGATTCAAGTGCATTACATTTATTATGTATTTTATTGCTATTATTATCACATTGTAATACATAACAAAATAATTATACCACTCACCACAATGCAGAATCAGTGGGAGCCCTGAGCTTGCTTTCCTTCTCTAGACCAGACTCAATGTAAGAGCCTACAACTAGATGGCCCTATCTGGGGGTGACAGGAGACAGTGACAGATTATCAGGCATTAGATTCTCATAAAGGGTGTCCAACCTAGATCCTTTGTATGCACAGTTCACAATAGGGTTCACACTCCTATGAGAATCTAAGGCTGCTGCCACTGATGTGACAGGAGGCAGTACTCAGGTGGTAATGACAGCAAGGGGGAGCAGCTATAAATACAGATGTAGCTTCACCCGCTCACCAGTCACTCACCTTCTGTTGTGCAGCCCAGGGTTGGTTGGGGGGACCCCTGCTCTATAATAGCTAACTTCCCAGGAATTAAAAAAGCCAGAAGGGCCTGATAAGTAAAATGGCAGTAACTAAAACCACACAACTGGGAACATTTCGGCTAGGCAACAGACAAGTGGCTGAGCTATCTGGTTGGGGTAAAGGCTTTGTTCAGGAGAGGTTAAGTTCAGAGAGTTATGGCAAGAGTTAAGTGAAAGTAATGTCAATGCCAGGTTAAGAAATCTACAATATAAGCAAAGATATGCATCCACCAAATACCCTTGCTGAGACCTACTTGAATTTCAGGAAGATACTCCCTAGCGAGGATAACCTAAGGGTACAGAAAGACTGCACTCATTAAGAGAATTCAAGAGTAATGGCTGATTGTCTGGTTATATAGGCTCTAACAATCTAAGACAAAACAGCTGCCTATGTTGTTTAAGTGGGGTAGCAAGGTAAGCTAGCACACAAATGTCTTCTGTGAAACACAGCACCAAAATATTGAGAAGAAAAAACAGACAAACAATAATTAGGAAAACAATTTGATAAACAGTACAATAGTTGGCCTGCATCTAAACAAAAAGTTTAAAATAATTTTTATTATCCTATAAAAAAATGAAAATGCACTAGTCCCTCCATTAACCTTGAAGCAATAATGTATCTGTTATGAAATCTTAAACTTTAAAAATGTTTCTCACAGGATAAAAACTACTTATCCATATTTTTGTTTTATAGACTATGAATATAATGCTTAAATAAAAGGTGAGAAAATTAACTATAGATGATGAAGGGAGAAAATTGCCATTTATTGTTTATGCTCTTCCAAAAGAGTAGTGGACATAATACCCATTTAAAGGTCTCCCAGAGTCAGGCTCCATCTGACACTTGCCCCTGTTTATTTTCTGTATAGTACTTGTCATGCCTGTAATTATGTTGCTTATTTATGTGCTTATTTATCGACTAATTCCTGCACTATGGAATAAGATCTGTGAGGGCAGGGATCCTGTTTCACCTAGACTGGAGTGTGCCACAGAATAAAGGAAAGACTAAATCTCACATAATTCTGTCAAGGATTCTACAGCACCAGTACTGTTACTCCCCACTTTGCTGACAAGGATTCAGACATCCTGTGAAATTAAATAATTTGCACAAGGTCACAGAACAATTAAGGTGTCGGAGACATTTGCATGATGCATATGTACCGTATAAACAAATTTGGCAGGCTATATTCAGAACCAAAACAGTGTCAAGCTAAAATTCAAATAGGTAGTGGTGTTTAAAAATGCAGCAATTAAGCAAACAGTCTGTAGAAGACTCTTCTCACTGTACTAAATATAGTCAGACAGACTTCTTATAGCTTTCCTCACAGTACACATTTAGTTAAAATATGTATTTCACACTAATTGACTATGGCTATTTTGCAAATTGTAAACAACGTTATCTGTTACCCTTTGGAAAAATTTAGTTTTGCTCCCAAAATATTACTGCTGTATTGCCGAATTTCACTTTGGATGAAATTGTGAATAAAATCTATCCAACAATCTTGGTTTTTAAAGTGGTAGGTTCGTTTTGGCAAACCATGTAGGATGAACTGAATGTCAGTGATAAAAAGAGATTTATAACTAAATTGGTTACTCAATAACTGCTGGAATAGCTTTATAAATTAGACACTATTTTTTCAGTAGAATTCTCAGAAAAAAATACTTAAAATAATTTCCTATCTCCTACTAAAAGTGATAAATTACTTTTGAAAAAACAATTTCTACAAAGAACTGGTGAGCTACATAACACTCAGATTCACTGTGCCAACTATTGCTCACACATCGGAAAGGAGAACTGACATCCACAAAGTGTTATTAATACTCTACTTATATTTATCCATTAATAAATATATTAGGTGCCCACTTGCTTATCATTACGCTGGATGATACAGTATAGAAAAAGAAGTACAAAAAGCAATTTCAATTGGTAAAAAAAGTTAACTACAGAAGGCATCAATGGTAGGTAACTTTATGAGAAACACTCTCAAGAAGAGCTACAAGTAAAGCTGGGATAAATGGTCAAACAATATTCTCTCAGACCTGAATCATATTTCACCCTAACATTCATTCCCTTAAGAAGGTAAGTCAATGGCTTTCTCACACAGTGGTTCAGTACAGTTCTAGAGACTTTTAGCTCTTTGCTGCTATTTTGGGGTAGATTCAAATCTCAGAAAGTAAAAGGCCTAAAATTATCATGCCCATTAAAAGTTATCTGATACCTGGGATTAGTCTTGGATATCAAGAGATTCTCTAAGATAAATTGTAGCTGTAAGCTAATTTGTATTTCTAACCTACATTCCAGATTTAAAAGCCATTCAATGGCCACAAGCCCCTTCTACTACCAGTTTATTGGGAATACAATATCTATTTTCCAGCAGTTCAGGACTAAAAAGAAAACAAATACACATGGAAAGGGGATTTCAGGGAGGCATGACAGAAGTCAAGGAGACACATCAGGGAGGGTTGGGTAAGAGGACAGAGATGTTTATATAAAGGAGTTCTGGTACCTTCCTATGGGAGGTATCTGGCAAGAGATTCTGGGCTCCTTTAAGGGGTACCTTGAAGCAAATAAGATAGCAGCACTCTAAACACTTAGGATCCAAGGCAACAAACTGTACACCATTTTAACAGCTAGAAAATTCAACAAGCCATCTGTACAAGCATGTTTTCCTGTTAAAAACAACAAAAAAAGAAGGTCTTTGGGATTTTCTACTCAGAAGACTTCTCAGAAATATTTTTACATCTCATATAAAGTTTCCTTGACATTACTGCAAAAAAGTGGGTGT